GTCTTGTAAGAGAGCACTTTGAATACAAATGCCCACAGAAGCTGCTGACTCTCCCCCAGTGCCTTACCAAGTGGTGAACCCTGGTGTCAGCTGGCGTCATCTAGCCCTTAAAATCCAGACCTGATTGTCTTGAACCCCTCCCCATGGCACGTCCAGTGCCCTCACCAAGACTTCTGGAAATTCTCAGAGATTCACGCTTCTTCTATCCTCCTCTGGCTCTGATTTCAGAATTCTGTTGAATTGTCCTTCTCTGTTTTGTGGCTCTTCCTATGACAACCCCCAGCACAGACCTGGAACCCTTCCCTGATTCCCAAGCCTCTGAGGACAAGCAGGCATGGAAGATGGATGTAAAGATTTTTCTGAGGATTTAGGGGCAATAGCGAGAAATGTGCATCACACTCCAAGATGCAGGGAAAATTAAAAGTGGACTTATGTTCTTAGGAAGTCCCTGGCCATTTCCTCCCCCCTGCCTCAGTTCTTGGTTGTGGCAGCCCTCTCTTGTCTAATCCCCTCCCCGAGTCCACTACCAGTTCTGGTCCCTTCTCATGCAGACTAGAATGGTTCTCTATCCCTCTTGTTACTCCAGCCTCCCCTAAGGATCCCTCCCACCCCCGTGTCCTACTGTGCATTTTCCTAAACTAAGATCATTCCTTTCCCATATAAAACTGGTTGTAGTAAAATTGTAATTGTCTACCTCTGAAAGTACCATTATTTTACAGATGAGGCCAATTGGGCCCGGTAGGTTGAATAACTCAGTCAAGGCCACATAGCAAAAAGGAGAGTTGGGACGGCACTGGGATCTTCACAGCAGATCTGCCTTTCCTTCTGGGCTGGCTCTGGTGTGGCTGAGGCCTTGGCCTGCAGGAGGGGTCTGCTGCAAGAAGAGCACGTGGTTCTGAGAGGGGATGTTCATGACCCAGGCAGGAAGCAAGAGTGCCACTGCCTTGTCGCAGTTCCAGAACCAGTGACGTTTGGCGTCCTGAGAACAGGCAATCCTGAGTTCTAGGGAGCCTATGTTAGGTGTCTGGACCAAGAACACCAGACCTGACTATGGGGTGAGGGGCTGGCACCGAAGGCTGGGCCTTTGCTCCGAGGCAATGAGGAATGAGAAACCAGGCAGCTCTGGGAGGGTTAGAAGGAGCCTTCAGCCATAAAGCAAACTACCAATCCTGGATGCCAGGAGCAGTGCTAAAGCCTTTACATGATATCATTTCTATTATGATTATTTTTTTGAGATGGAGTCTCACTGTCACTCAGGCTGGAGTACAGTGGCATGATCTCAGCTCACTGCAACCTCCACCTCCCCGGTTCAAGCAATTCTCCTGCCTCAGCTGTCTACGTAGCTGGGATTACAGGCACACGCCACCACGCCCAGCTATTTTATTTATTTATTTATTTATTTTTAGTAGAGATGGGGTTTCACCATGATGGCCAGCGTAGTCTCAAACTCCTGATCTCAAATGATCCACCTGCCTTGGCCTCCCAAAATGCTGGGATTACAGGCCTGAGCCACCATGCCTGGCTACATGACATCATTTCTAATATACACAGTAATCCCCAGAGAGAGTCATCCTCCCATTTCACAGATAAGGAAGCTGAGGGTCTCAGTGGTTGAGTGACTTGCTCAGAGCGCCACAGCTAGTAAGTAAACAGGCAGACAGAATGCAAACCCCACACGCCTGCTTCCTAGTCTCACACATGGCACATGGGTTCTGGGTGAACATTCAGCTGCCGGGGGTTGGCAAATTGTGTCTGTGTGTTCCCACCTCAGGGACTCTGCTGCTGTTCTGGAATACTCTCCTGCTAGGTTTTAATACAGCAGGCCCCATCTTGTCTTTGGGACTAAGTCTGGGGGACTTCTCCTTGCAAAGGCCTTGCTGACCTCCCAATCCAAAGAAGCCCCCAGGCCCTCTCCCTTTCCTTACGCGGTCATAATTTCTTCATACAACTTACCTGAAATTTCCTCATTCATTTATTTATTTCTTACTTATTGTCTCTCCCATGCCCTAAAAGTGAAAGTGGCCTGTATCTGTCCTATTTTCCCAAATCCCCAGTGCCTAGGTCAGCCAGCACTCACATACAAATATTTGGTGAAGAAATGAAGGAGGTGGCAGAGTCTGAACACCAGCAATAGCCATCACTTGCCCATCTCAACAACCCTCCCTCCACGGCCCATTTCCCCATGAAGAATTGCTGTGGGAGGAATGACAACTTGACCAGATGTCACCTGACAGGAGTCCAAGGAGGTCCTGCTGCCTTACTTAGTGGGTCTCCAAACCAGCGGACCAGTAGGACTCTGCCCCAGCCCTTGGGAGGTCCTCCACCCCAAGTCTGCCCAGGAATTCCCTTCAGCCTTTCTACAACTTCTCATGCTCACTGACCTTTAGGCTTTAAGGAAACAAAAACAGCTCTGCCCTATAAAAATGTCAGGACCCTGGTGCCAGGTGGCCAAACCTTTGTCATGAAAAGGAAGGAACGCAGGGCCCAGAGGTGGACCACCACCTGGAGGCCAGGGGATGAGGACCAGACCCTGAGCTAGGGACCCGAGGCTCCTGGTTCCATGTGCAGCACGCTCAGGATCATTGGCTGTGGCCGAGCTCCTCTTCTATCAAACACATTCAGCGATGTGTTCCCTTTGTCTATCCTGTGGGGAGGCCGGAACCTCAATGAAATACAAACTCGAAAGCACATTGTACTTCCCAGATGAAAAGTACCACAGTCAGAAAGATTCACAGCCACGCTGTTCACTCGTGCTGGTCAAATGGCTTTGGCTGATTTTTTTATGGATATGAGTTTTAGGGTTTAAAGGAAAAAAATACAGCTTGTTTCATAGAGCTATTATGGGATTTTTCTGTTGAAGCACACAGTCTCTGTACAGCCCTAAAATGTTTTGACAGCTCAGGCAAATCCTCAGGAAAACCTGAGACCAGAGCGTGCCAACCAGTCGCTTATCACTGGGCTCCCACAGCCCCAGCGCTCGGCCGGAGCTTCCCCTGCTGGCTCCTCAGCAGGCCCAGCCGCCACCCGGCCCGCGGGACCAGCCGCACGCGGCCCAGCTATGAATCAACCTTGTCCTCCCATTCCAATGCGGGAAATGGGATGATGAATTCGTTTCCATCACCACACTGCCCATAAGTCACGGCTTGAAGGGCATTTTTTTCTTTTAGAGTTTCCAATGACAAAGATTTCATTATCCAAAGCAATAATTTTTACCCAGAGCAATGCAAGATTTCACTCTACCTGAATTAGGCCCATATGTGAAAGGGCAGCCTGAGAACGTCAGTGTCTGGGGGCTGAGAGGAGGGTGGGGAAGGGGGGCTGGTCTCTGTGTGCTCGCCCTGCCCCCGTGCATTCCCTTTCTCTCTTGGTGTGGATGTTCGCTTTCTTTGTTCTCAGCTCCCTCCTCCAGAGTCAACCCCTCTCCTTGTCACTAGGCACCCCCATGATCCTCTCCCTAGGGCATAACCCTTCCTCCAGTGACAGCCCCATGCCGGGGCTGACACTGTTTATTCTGCCAGCCTGTTCTCCCCACTGCTCTACATCCCCCTCCCCTACCCCCCTACCCACACCCATCCCCATATCAGAACCAAAGAAGGGCAGAGAGTCATCAGCATTGCTCTCTAATGGAAGCCCAAGGGCTTTCCTTTGAATCAGAAAGGCAATTTCAAAACCACTGCACTACAGAAGATCCCCAGGGGGTCGGCTCATTCTAAGGCTCTGGATGTGCCACCCTTCCGCCAAGCCCCATCTTTTTCCCGTTAGTTTTACACTGAGGCCTCATTGCTCCAAAGCCAAAGCCTAAAGTCACAGGAAGCATAAATAAGACAGCAGTGCAGAAGGAGCCAAGCAGGGCCCTCTGCTCTCAGCCCTCCTGGAAAGCAGCATTGGAGGGGTAGGGGGTTCTTTCAGGAACTGGCTGGTATCTTTTGACGGCTAGCCTGGCTGGGGAAGGCCAGGAGCCCTGTTGAGAAGGGCTTACCCTTCTCAGGGTAAGATTGGGGTGCCTCTGGCATCTCCCACTGTCCACATCCCAATCCCACAGAGCCTCCTGCTCCACCTGCTTTCCTGCTAACAATGCTGCCGCCATCAGTCCAGGGAAACGCCCAGGTCACATCACCTGTGACAAGCCCAAGAGGAAATGTGTCAGATTTGAGGGAGCCACGTGCAGCCAGTCTACATTTAAACAGCAAGTATTAATTATAGAATCCCAACCAAGTACCAAAGACAAAATAAGTGCATAAAATATATTTCACTTCCTCATAAAGCAAATACAGAGTAAGGCTGATATTAACTACCAAAATGACAAACTTTCGTATGACTGACCTACATCCACACACGGGTAGATTAAACACCAGGGAAGAGGCCCAGGCAGTGAACTCAGGAGTTCAGGCAAGCAAGGGAAAGCTGGAGGCTGGGCTGGAGAGTCTTCACAGAAGAGTGGTGCTCTGGTGTGGAGGAAGAAATAATCCCAGTATTCTAGAGAGTGGCAGAGGAGTGGAGTGTTCTCCCGGAGGGGCGGGCTGGTAGTAGGACTTAACTGAGCCCATCCATTGAGTTTGGAAGCCCAAGCTAGAGATCTGGGCCTCTCATTAGTTCCCAGTCAGTCACAAAGCAAGTGTCTTGAAGCCATGTTACCCCCACACCCCCAGTTCTCAGCTACCACTATTACATGTCGTTAACTCCTCCCATCAGGTGCAGCAAAGCACATGATGAGTGTTACGGTGTGCATGGGGACAGGGAGAGAGGACAAAGCTAAAGATCTAGGGTGTGATGCCTGTGCTGTGGGCCTCTAGTGCACTCACTGGCTAAGAGAGGTCCCCGTGCCAACCCCCTGACCCGCAGTCCCACTGCAGGCCCATCTTCAAATTCCTGCCTCAACAATCTCACCAACCACCTCACGTCAGGAACCCGGAGCTCTGGGTTAACAGGTGGAGCTATGGCTAATATTTGTGACACCAGGACGCTGTGAGATTTGTAGGCAGTAGCAAGTTTAAACTAAATTTTTTTCTTAGGCCAGGACCGGTGCCTCATACCTGTAATCCCAGCACTTTGGGAGGCTGAGGTGGGCAGATCACTTGAGGTCAGGAGTTCAAGACCAGCCTGGCCAACATGACGAAACCCCGTCTCTACTAAAAATACAAAAATTAATTTGGTGTGGTGTCAGGCGCCTGTAGTCCCAGCTACTTGGGAGGCTGAGGCAGGAGAATCGCTTGAACCCGGGAGGCGGAGGTTGTAGTGAGCTGAGATTACGCCACTGCACTCCAGTCTGGGTAACAGAGTGAGACTCAGTTTCAAAAAAAAAAAAAAAAATTCTTAGAGGTGAAATTCACACAACATAAAATTAACCATTTTAAAGCACACAGTTTAGTAGCACTTTAGGTCAGGAGTTCAAGACCAACATTCACCGTGTTGTGCATCTACTACCTCTATTTAGTTGCAGAATATTTTCATCACCTCAAAGGGAAAACCCATACCCACGAAGCAATCACTCCTCCCAGGCCCTGGCAGCCATTGATCTGCTTTCTGTCTCTTTCCAGGTATTTCATATAAACAGAATCATACAATGTGACCTTCAGTATCTGGCTTCTTAGCATGTTAGCTTAGCTTAGAGGCCTAGCATGTTTCTGAAGTTCATCCATGTTGTTGCATGTATCAGAATTCCATTCCTTTTTATAGCTGAATAGTTTTTCATTCTATGTATATACTACACCTTGCCTAGCCATTCATCTGCCGACAGACATCTGTTTCCACCTTTGGCTGGTGTGGAAAATGCTCCCATAAGCATGCATGCACCAGTATTTGAGTCCTTGCTTTCCATTCTTTTGGGCATGTGCCTAGGAGGGGAGTTGCTGGGTCATACAGTCATTCTATATAATATACTTTTGAGGAATTGCCAAACTCCTTTCCACAGGGCTGCATGACTTTACATTCCCACCAGTGGAAAGGTTCTGAGAGTCCTCAGACAGATAGATAGGGTAGGGGATGCATCTAATAGTTTTGTTTGAGTCAGGGTCAGGGGAGGCTGAGCATGGTGCTCTCGTGGCACCCAAGACCTCTGCCACTCCGAGAGCCCAGAACTGCGTGCAGCTCAGAGAGGTCTTTGGAGTTGAGGTGTAAAGGAAGCAGTGAAGACTAGGAAGGTGGTCACGATGGCGGTCCTGGGTCCCAGGGTCCTGAGACACCACAGTCACGCTGTGAAAATCATTGCTGGCGACCTGAGACTACGCAGAACCCCACTCGGGCTCCTGCAGATAGCAGGCTGGGGCGCAGCACTCCTCTGCAGATCCCATTACCGTACATGGGGCTGCAACATTAAATGATGAAAATGTAAAACATCAGGGAACATGCTGTAAATCACTTATTGGCAACCTGCTGCCTCCCAGACATGCCCGATCCGAGTGAGATGCTGCAGCAGCTCGGGATTTCCACGCGGCCTGGACCAGGCTATCCCTCAGGCGCCAAGACCCTGACCTAAGAACTGAAACCATGTGGGGAAAACACCTTGGGGGCCTGACTCATCCTGTCCTCCAGCCGAGAGCAGCACCCCTAAGTCTTCTCCTGGCATCGAGCCCACCAGCCCCAGGCCTTGGGAAAACCCCTTTGCCCCTCCATGTCTGTGTTTTCCCGATTTGAGAAATGATGATGCCTTGGCTTGAACAGCCTCCCAGGCTCCCTAGCACATTCCAGATGTATCTTTGATTCATGCAATTTACCCATAGTCCTGGCTCTCCTCATCTGGTCTCAGTGAAAAAAGATCAAGAAGCAAAGAAAAGAAGTGGCCAGTCCACAAAGCCCTATGAATAGGCTTCTCGGGACCCATGTCAGCAGCAAGGCTCCTGAGGCCAGGGGTCCTGCCATCCAGGGGTCCTGTGGTGGTCCAGATGGGAAACGGGGCTGCTCAGGAATGTGTAGAGTTTCAAGCACAACTGACATTCCCTTAAGTGTGCAGTATGACGTATGGCCCCTTGGAAGCAAAATCCAGATTAAAAATCAAACTAAGAGAGAAAGTAAAATGATGCGCTGTCTGCCTGCTTTCCCAAGGACTCCCCTCAGGACACCTTTAAATGCTTTAAGTGGAATTGTGTCTTTTCACACTTTTGCAGTTTCATGTATACTGTCTGAAGCAGAGGTTGATGTATATAGCCTTGTTGCAATTGGGTGGACCTTCTCAGTTCCCTGATTGCTTGGCCACCAAAGCAAGCCCTGAGCAGAAGGGTGGAGGCCAGGAAGAGAAAGAGCATGGGAGTTGTAGGCTCAGAGGATCTGCAGACCACAGCTGAGACCAAGGCCAGTGATGGAGGAGCTATGAACCTTGTGTGCCCTCCCGCAAGCCCTTCTCCCCTCTGGGCCTCAGTTTCTTCCTTTCAACAGTGAGAACATCAGGCCAGATGACCTCTGGGTCTGCCTAGCTCCAGTGTTCTAGGCAGTAGGCCTTCATGGAGAAGCTGAATATTCATGAAGCTCTGGGCAGCCCAGTCCTAGCTGAGTCAAGCAGAAGCACCAGCAAGGCCCCTCCCACCACTAAAGAGCAGTGATGGTGAGTCGCAGTCCATCAGCTGAGTTGGCCACTCAATTCTCCATCTCATCTACCTTCTTCGATCTGAAGGGCCACACAAATGGTTCCCTTTTAAGTGCATGGGGGAATACTGTCCTGACACAGAAACAGCATTTAACAAAGCAGGGGCCCAAGGTGTCCAAAACCATCATTATAATAAAGTAAAAGATCAATGCATCCAACAATGCCACCCCTGTTTGCCAAGTGTATCAGCTACAGCAGTTTTGCTGTGAGGTGAAATGCTGGGGGATGAGTTGGGGAAATAGTCGTCTTTCCTTACTATGCAGCAATTTAGCCGTAACCTTTCTTCAGACTGACTGCCTATAGCAGCCTGTTCTCCTCAGAGTCTCATTTCTTAATCAGAATCCTTTCGTGATTATCCCATAGAACCTAGAACAGGGCTGGGCACACAGTGGGTACTTAATAAATGTATATGGATATGTTTTCAGGAGTGTCCAGGAAAAGACCAGTATTTCAGTTACCTGTGGCTGCTGAACAAACGACTGATTTAGTGGCTTATAACAACAATGATTTATGATTTCTCATGAATCTGTGTGTTGACTGGATTCAGCTGGGTGGTTTGGCGGGGCTCACTTAGCAGCTGCATTCATCTGGGAGCTTATTTGAAGCTGGAATGTCCAAGATGGCCTCTTATCCTCCAGATCCTCTCTCCCATGTCCCTGCATTATCCACAGGTCTAGTCTAGACTTCCTTTTAGCAGCAGGGTGGCTGGGTTCCACGAGGCACTGTCTGAGAAGACAAGCCCGGGGCGCAAGCACTTATAAAGCCTCTGCTTGCATCATGCTTGTTATTATCCCATTGGCCAAAGAAAGCTACATGGCCAACTCCAGAGTCAATGCGGGAGAGACCACACGGAAGTGTGACTTCTACGAGATACAGTTCGTCAAATGCCACAAAGCAATGATCTACCACAGCTAATGAATCCCCCCAGTGGGGGCAGAGCCATGATACCCTGAGCCATCCTCCACTCTCCCAGGAAGGTGGAAGACAGGACAGGTTTCTCAGCAGACAGCCATCTTCCAGAGCAGGTGAGGAAGTCAAGTCACCCACTGACAAGGTAGGGAGGGAAGGTTCCTTAAGTCCTATCACGGTTGTGCTCAAAATCTAGCAAAAGCTGGAACATCTTTTCAGATCCTGGGGGACAAGTGGGGCCTGTCACTTGCATTCATTCACTGCACAGAGTACCTGAGCATTGCCATCATGGAGCACTTGGGATCAAGGTGTATCAAGGAAACCCCTAAAAGCACATGTGCACTTCCTCGCACGTCCTTGGTGGCCATGGGGATCGCCTTTTTCCACTGGGGAGTAATAGTGTGGTACAGTGGTTAATTGCATGGACCCTGCTGGCAGATGGCTTGGCTTCAGATTCTAGCTCTGCCACATACCAACTCTGCTGACCTGGGCAACCTGCCCAGCCCTCCTGCGCCATGGTTCCCATGTCCAAATTCTCATGAGGGTTAAATCACTTAATCCATGAAAAGCACTCAGAACAGAGCTTGGCATAAAATATGCACCAGGCAAGCATTTGCTAATATTATTCATGAGTAATCCTTACATAAAGAATTCTTCTTTCAGATTACAAACCTAATATATGCTCAATGTAAAAACAAACCAACCTTGCAATATCGGAAAAAAGAAAAAGACAGAAAACCCACTTACACAATTCCTCAACCCGAAAAGAATCCTATTAACCACCTGGCATGTGCACTTAATGTTTGCCTATGAAATATGTACACATATCCATCCTTTACATTACAAAAAGTTCTCATACTGTTCATAGCCTGCCAGTTAAAAACATAATATGTCAAAACTGTTGGCCATCGATATTATTCTACAATTTGATTTTACTGTCAGCATGTATTTAATGGTGTAATCTATCCTTTCTTGTGGGAGATTTATATGATTTGTGATTTTTCACAAACAGAACTAATGCTGTGATACATATCCTCATGCACACCCCTTGTTATGTCTTCAGAATAAATTCCTGGAAGGGGAAGATACTGGGTTTGAAGTGAATGCCTACTTGCATAGGGTAGGCATTCAGATTCAGATGCTGCTGGCCCGGCCCGGAGAGAATGACTGTGCCTGGAAGGCATAGTAGGAGAGGAACATGTACCTGTCCCCATGGCCTTGGTTGCCATGGGGACTGCTTTTTCTCACTGAGTGGCTATAGTATCAGCCTGCAAGCCAGGAACATTCTGCTGTGGTGTGGCCTCTTCTCTGCAGCAAGCAAGGCCAGAGCCACCTTTAGAGACTGTGAAGGCCAAAGCAACTCCATCTTGGGTGCTACCCACCATGTTGACTTCTGATTATCCCCAGTTCTGGGAAGGCTTCTAAGATATCCAGCATATCCATTGTTCCTTGTGTCAGAGCAAGTACTTGCTGTAAATCCCGCCCTTAGGTCGTACAACCTTGATGTTATCATACTACAAGCGTCCCACACATCCCTTCCGAACCACCCCTCCCCTGTGATATATAAGCCCTGGGTCTGGTGGGTAATGGCATGTGAATCCACCATCTCCTGTCCCTGCCACCTGAGACCTAAACATGGCTTCTTTTCTTAAGTTTCTATTAAATGTTTCTTTCTAAGAAACTGGATTTGTCAGCCCCTTTCTTCAGCCTCTCAGCTTCTTTAGACTTCGGGGGTGGGATTGCATAAACCTGCCCATTGTAAACAGAGCCCCAGGTGCCTTCTGCCTGCCTGTAACCACCGACTTCCCCAGGTTTCCACCCTGTCCTCCTGCACCCCTCTCTACACATGGAGTTTCAGTGTCCCAAAGAGAGACTTTGGCAGGAAAGAGACTTGGCTTCAATATTCCTTTAGCAGGTAACCCAAATCCACATCCCTCTCTGATGCCCATCTGCAACCTGGACCTGCATTTATGTCTGACTGTTCCCTGGGATCCTCAAATTTAGCCTGGCCTAAGCCAATCTTCTTGTCTGCTTTCCCATAGCCTGTTCCAGCAAGCTGTATGAGGTGTCCAGGCCTCAGGGGTCAGGCAGCATGGGTTTGACTCTGGCTCTGCATTTACCAGCTAGGTGATTGTGGGCAAACGACTCGACCCCCTTGAGCTGCAGTTTTTCTTAACTGCAAATTGAGAACTTTAATATGAGCCTCTCAGTGTTCCGAGGATTCAGTGGGGAGACAGCAGGTCCTGGCAGAGTAAATGTATAGTAAATAACAAGACAATACTGATCTTATTTTTATTCTTACTACCCACTGCCCCAACTGAAAACCTCATAGTCATTCTTCCTTCTTCAGGGGTCTCTTCTCTTCCACAAACCCAGGAAGTAAACCTCAGAAATGGCCTTGAACCCTGCTGCTGCCCCGCTGCTTGCACACATGCATTCAGCGGTCTCCTTACCCCCTCACCATGCTGGGACAGCACATAGCAGATGTCCGGAAGGTTGCTTGTATGAAAAGTACAGTGGTTCCCAGATCACTGCCTTTCTCTGGACCCTGCTTCCTCATCTGTAAAACCATCTCCAATGGCCCTTGCAGCTAGGAAACACTGTGATTCTCTATCCCTGTACTGGATCCTTGCCCCAAGGAACAAGGGAGCCTGGCTCCATCACTCAGGCAGGCAGAGAGGGGAGTGAGATAACAGTTACATAGATGACTCCTCATTTTATTGCCTGAACCATCAAACCCTCCCCAAGATTTCTGGACTACTGTCCCTTGGCTGGCTCAGAAATTTCTTAGCTCTACCAATATTTTCTTTCGTCATTCTGTAAAGCAAGCTCAAACTCAGTGAGCACCGCCTATGCAAAGACCTTAAACCACATGTTTATTTTCCTAAGCTATAAAAAGTTTACGAGGGGAGCTGGACTTCTTGTCCAGCACCATGCTCAGAATTGCTACTGCATTCCACAGGAAGACAGAGGGCTCTGTGTCAGTCCAGGGGGGCTAGAAGGAAGTAGGTGGAGTGTAGCTGTCCATCTCCAGGGGAAAGGGCGTACGGCATGGGAAGGAACAAGTGAGGGGCAAGTTCGTGGGGTAGTGAGGGCAGCGGAGAAGAAAGATGGGGGAAAGATCTGAGCATGGTTGCAGGTGGTTTAACCCAGCATTGTGCCTCTCAGGTCCGTCTACTGTCAAGGCAGCTTTGGGACACTGAGTCAGCAGAGGCACTGGGGCTGGCCCTGGCTGAAGCTCACTAAGCCAGCCCTTCTGACACGACACAGCCCCTTCATCTAAGAATCTGAAGTCACTGAAGCTTGATGCTGGAATAAACAGCCAAGAGCAGGCATCTTCACCTAGTTGCCTCTAGTTTCCTAATGACCCCAGTCCATCTATTTACTTTCCACCTAGCCCAGTGCTTCTTGAGGATCAGATGCCATGCAGTTATTCAGAACTCCAGCACCAGGGTATGTTCTGAGATGCAGTACGTTTGTCCACTAGCTTGGCATTTATGCGGTCCTTGATATGGACTGAGCCTCTGAGGGTACAGTATTTCCTCTTGCAATGTAAGACTAGGTTTTCCACTGAGCTGATGCCAACGTCTCTAAGTGGATGAGATCTGGAATGGCACTTGGATCCCAATATCTATAATACTACCTGCCAACATCTGGTGAAGCTCACTGTGCCTGGGCCCTTGGTCCTTCAGGCCTGTTTCCCACTGGGTTCCATCCTGGGAACTCCAAAGGGTCACATCATAGGAGGAAGGAAACAGAGGTGTGTGAAGGTCCTTGGTCCTCCAACTGCATGGATTTGAATACTAGATGGAGTGGGGAAAGGACTGAGTGACAGTCAAGGGCTCCTCTAACCCTGAAATCCTATGATTTTTAGGAAAAAAGGGAACTGCCATTTGCTCAGAGCAGTGATTCTCAAACTCAATGCCTCTTTTCTATCACAAATATATCATAATACTCCCTTATTATCCTGAAATAAAAGTAAAGGTCATATAATACATTCATACTCATAATTTTAAAAGCTCAACATCTTAACTTTAAAAAAAAAAAAAAGGCAATTTATGGGCTGTGCACGGTGTCTCAGGCCTGTAATCCCCCAGAACTTTGGGATGCTGAGGCAGGCAGATCACCAGGTCAAGAGATCAAGACCATCCTGGCCAACATGGTGAAAACCCGTCTCTACTAAAAACACAAAAATGAGCTGGGCATGATGGTGCATACCTGTAGTCCCAGCCACTCAGGAGGCTGAGGCAGGAGAATCACTTGAGCCCAGGAGGCAGAGGTTGCAGTGAGCCAAGGTCGCACCACTACACTCCAACCTGGGCAACACAGCGATATTCCGTCTCAAAAAAAAAAAAAGGCAATTTATGATAAATTAATATGTATTTCCATATGCAAATGCGTGAGCATGACTACTTTGGAAGCCCTGATGAAGCACAGCACTGCACCGCTGAACAGACTCCTGGTGCTAGCAACATGACAAATGCAGGTGGGCCATAATGGGATTTCAAAACTACATGCAGCACTGCCATCAGATACGATGCTTTCCGATGTTGTGAGCACTGTTAAAGTACAATCTTAATTTACATACTGGTTGCATGCATTTAATGTTTTCTAAAACCACGCAAAAAATAATCTGTATTGAGTCCTAGTAGAAGATGATAAAGTCAGGCTTTTCACCTCCAGTGTTGTCCAAATTGCCCTACACAATTTGACAGTTGCGTAGGGCACAGGACAATTGTTTATTTTGTAGGACAGTCTCAGGAACGGCAGGGTATTGGACATCTTTTTCCCAGTGTGCAAAACGCTAGTTGCCCCTCAGCTGGTAGTATCACCCTATTCAAAATGGTTGAATTGAAGCCTCCTCTCTGCCTGGAGTCACAGGAGGCAGGAGACCCGGACACTGACCATCACAGGGTTAAGGACCCGCAAGATCTGCCGAGACATCACTACAGTTTGATGAAGCAGCCAGGGTAATACCTGAGAACTTGCACTGATCAATGACCTGCAATGCCGAGCTTTGAATCCCATGTGGTCCTTGGCCTCCGCCCCAGCCCCGATATCTCAGTCTCACTTACGATACAATCAACATATAAGCCAGGCTGGTAGCAGCCCTCAGGGCCCAGAAGCGGCCCTCTCTTGTCTGAGAAGCTTTCAGAAGAACCTGGACAGCCTCACCTTTGGACCAGACACTGCCCGTGTACCATTTTTGCAGTGGTTGTTCTTTTATCCCCTACCCCAATTTAACCATGGAGGTACTTACAAAAAAAAAAGGTTCACTGACCTGAGCAAGTTGCGTAACTTTTCTGTGACTCAGTTTTCTCATCTGTAAAATGGGAATAATATGAGAGTGACTACCATTAACCTTAGAAGGTTGTGAGAATTACATTTTGATAATATTAATGGAAGGGCTTTTCAAACTTGAAAGCACAAAGGTAAGGTATTACTACTTTGTCATTCTGTAGTACTGTTGTTATCGCTAGTTCACTAAGCCCCGATGAGGCACATCCAACATGTGCCGATCTCAGCCCATCTTTGGCCTCAAAGGAAAAGGAAGCCTGCAGAGCCTGAGTCTCCCCCTGCCCAGACCGGCCATCTGTGCACAGGCTCCGCACCTGCGGACTAGGTTGGCTCCCAACAGAAGGCCCAGGGCAGTGTCAGTAAGGCCACCGCGGGAGAGCTAGCTGTTCTTTCCGGAGGGCAGGGCTAGGCTTGGGACATTCATTCCAGACTCCGGGAGGAGTCTGCCTCAAGGCAGGGGACGTGACCAGAGCTGAGAGTGTGAGCGTGGAAGCAGTGAGAAAGAGACTGAAGAGGCAACCTGGGACCACGTGATGCAGGGCCTGAGGCCCAACCAGAAAAGACAGAGGGGTGCCCGGGTGTGTAACTGGCGTTACTGTACTTGAGTATTCAAACCTAGCTCTCATTTCCACAGGCCTGACGCCATCCTTGTCCCGGACAGCGGGAAGCTGGCTCAAGACCTGGTCAGGCTATTTTCCCCTGCACTCACCTTGCGCTCCGGATCCCGGCCTTCCTCCTGTGGCCAGGTCTCAGGTCCCAGCCCTCCTGCTTCTCTCGGGCCCGTGACTGTCCTTCTGGCTGCCAATTGCTGGCAGCGTTTGGCAAACCACCAGGCGAGCCGTGTGTAAGTACACCTGCCACGCGCATGCCCACCTGTGTGCCTCGTGCGTGCGTGTGCAAGCATCGTGCGGGCTCGCCTCCAAGCTTCCAGCGAGCCTCGGTGGTTGCACGTGCGGGCTCACCTTCGGGCTTCCGGCCAGCCTGCCACGTGCATGCTCAGCAGGTGTAGGCCCTCCCAAGACTCTGCACTGCCTCCCACTCCTCTGGACCCAGCTTCTCTACCGGTGATTAGGGTTGTGGTGCTCAGCGCCCGTCTTGATTGCTGATAAAAGCTGTGGAGATTGTCGAGGTCTTCCTAGGGCAGTGAAAGCAGGTGAGGTGGGGGCAACTTCAGCTGCAGCGAATTTTCCACTGGCCTGGCTGAGGCTGTTACCAACTTGTTCAGATGTATTGTCAAATTGGAAGCGCTCAAGAGGAGACAGCCAAAATACTGAGGACCCCCAAATCCAGACTCCGGGAGACGGAAAGGGAGTTCCCATGTCACTTGGAGTAAGGTGGAGGGGCTGAGACGAAAATTGGTACCCAGGCCATGACGGCCCTGGAGACAGCGTATCCACATACAAGGAGCCTGGTTTTGCTCTTTTGAAGCTAAATTGCGTTGCGCCCCTTCTAGGGGCTAGAAGTTTTGTATACGAGGCAGATACTGCCATCTACCTGTGTTTTATAAATGGGGAAACGGAGGCCCGGGGCAGGTGGGGAAAGAGCCCACGGCCGCACAGCTGTAACTGGTAGAGCTCAGATTTAAACCCAGGTTTTTCTTCTGCAGAAACTTTTCCTCTTTCAGCCACCCCAGGCAGCCTCCTTAATTTGAAGGGCCCTGAGGCTAAAGAGGAAACTGACATCTCAGATTTTCAAGGAACATACCCATCCTTAACAGAGAAGACTGTAAACTCCTGAAGTTTCAGAGACATAGCCAAACAACCAGCCACACACACAAAATGCGTTTAACATTTCATGTTTTATCCTGAGAGTTCTGTAAAGTTTGCTTTCTACTCCATGATACATCCAGGTCATCTTAAATATGTTCAGAAGGTGTAACACTTGAGTAAAACAGATTTTCCAGGGACCGTTCTTGTTTATCCAGGCACCAATTCTGTGTCTACAGGCAGTTTGAGGAACAGAGCCTTGGACCAGGGGATCTCAAGCCTGTGTGCTACAGAGCCTTCGCTGCCTGAAGAAGCCTGGGGACCCCTCCCCAGAATCATCTTTTAAATGTATAAAACACTTGAGATTATAAAGGAAACAAACCATATCAAAATATAATTAACAATATTTTTAAAACTGAATTTGTGATACAGTTTTTTGGGGGGGTTCTTTTTTTGGGACAGCTTTTTAAAAAGTCATCTTAACCATTTTGATGTGTGAAGTTCCGGTGGTATAAATACATTCACATTGTTGTGCAACCATCACCACTGTCCATCGACAGAGCTCTTCATCTTGCAAACTAAAACTACCCAATGCTAACTCCTCATTCCCCTGTACTCCCACCCCCTGGCAACTACCATTCTACTTCTCTGTGATTTTGAACACTCTTAACTA